CTCGCGCCTTTGGGAGGCTGAGGTGAGTGGATTGCCTGAGCCTGTGGGTTCGAGACCCACCTGGGCAGCGAGACCTCATCTCTACAATAAAATCAAAAAATCAGCCGGGCGTGGTAGTGCATGCCTGTAATTCCGGCTACTCAGAAGGCTGAGGAGGAAGGATTGCTGGAGCCCAGCAGGTCAAGGCTGCAGTGGCCGGAAGCGGCCACTGCACTCCGGTCTGGGCGACCGAGTGAGACTCCTACTCAAAAAACAAACAAACAAACAAAAAAACCCAAGAAAACCCCCATAGTTATGGTAGTATTTTGAAAACACACATCTGATCATGGTACTTTCCTGCTTAAAGTCCTTCTATGGTTCCCTCAGGATAAAGTCCAAATTACTTGATATTATATATATACATATATATGTATATATACACATATATATATATATATATATAATCTTTTGTGACATGGGCAACCTCTATCTTACCGACCTCCATCCTCATCTCTTTCAGTCATTCTATCCTAAGCTGCATAGATCACTTGCAGTACTTAACAGTCCATTTCTAACCTCTTTATAACAATCTCTTTGTCATTCTCCCAGCTAACTCCTACACATTACTCACACTCAGAATTCAGCTCAGATATTACCCCATTCAGAAGACTCTCAATTTAATTTAGTGCCCTTTTTTTGGATGCTGTATCTCTCAATGCTTTTTTCCTATGCTTTTCACACCATACTGTAATTTTTTGTTAATTTATTCTGTCTTTTACACTGGATTGTAAAGTTCTTGAGTGGAGGAGTTATATCTGGTTCAATGCTGAGTATTTTAAGACTAACATGGTGCTTGGTACATAGTAGTTGCTCAATGAATATTTGTTAAATGAATGCATCTTTTGTAAAAGTCTGGAAGAATTTGCAAAGCTATCTGGAGAGAAAGAGATATTCAGCATTTTTTGTTTAGTGAATAGATTATTCTGACAGCAGTTCCCTTTATCTCTATACTTGCGGTTTACAAAGTATAAAAACTGAGCAGGAAAACATCTAAAAATGAATAAAATTAGTTGAGAAAACATGTCACAAATAATATAATAAGAAAGTGATATATAAAAAAAAGAAAGTGATATAAAACAATAAATTAAAAGTGTCAAACCTAGAATAAGATAAAGTTGAATGAAACAATACGGTTGTGGGACTGGGAGAGAACACGTAAGTAGCTGAATGTCTTTTCAGAGCTTACTAAATGGAATCTACTTTGCTGGAAATCTCATTCAACCCTCAAAATAATTATTTGAGATTACTATGTTATGTCTGCATAAAATACAAGGAAATTAAAGAGCAGATTAGAGCAAACTAAGCTCAATGATCTTACATATTTGATACAACAAATGACTTCCAAATAAGAAGAAAATGAAATTAAAATCAACCCTAGAAATATTAGGAAGAATATGCTAGGTTAAACTGTTCTAAACCCTAGATCAGAGGTCCCTAACCCCCCAGCCACAGGGTACTGGCCGGTGGTCTGTTAGGAACCTGGCTGTTCAGCAGGAGGTGTGCGGCAGGTGAGCAAGTGAAACTTCATCTGCATTTACAGCCATCCCCCATGACTCGCATTACCGCCTGAGCTCTGCCTCCTGTCAGATTAGCGGCAGCATTAGATTCTCATAGGAGCATGAACCCCACTGTAAACTATACATGGGAGAGATCTAGGTTGCGAGCTCTTTATGAGAATCTAATGCCAGATGATCTGAGGTGGAGCTGAGGCGGTGATGCTAGTGCTGGGGAGCTGCTGCAAATACAGGTTAACATTAGCAGTGAGGTTTGACTGCATAGAGACCATCATAAATCAATTGCTTGCAGACTCATATCAAAAGTCTATCAGTGAGTGGCAAATGAGTTCATGTACTTCAGTTGGATAGCTGCATCTGGTGGCAAGGTTAAAGTCAGAATCCAACACTTATTTTAGTCTGCATATGGCCCGCCCATTATTTTATTTACCACTTCTGTCCATGCCTATTTCCCACACTGTGCACTTGTCTCGGTCACCGTTTTGGTAAGCCCATAAGCTAATCCCAGCCAAAATGAGTAAAAATCAAATATCGAGCCGGGCTCGGTGGCTCAGCCTGTAATCCCGCGCCTTTGGGAGGCTGAGGTGAGTGGATTGCCTGAGCCCGCAGGTTCGAGACCCGCCTGGGCAGTGAGACCTCATCTCTACAATAAATCAAAAAAATCAGCTGGGCATGGTAGCGTATGCCTATAATTCTGGCTACTTGGAAGGCTGAGGCGGAAGGATCGCCGGAGCCCAGCAGGTCGAGGCTGCGGTGGCTGGAAGCGGCCACTGCACTCCAGTCTGGGTGACAGAGTGAGACTCCAACTCAAAAAAAAAAAAAAATCAAATTTCGCTGGAGAACTTCTTTGAAAAGGGGGAAAGACCCAATGAAGAGACAGCAGAAGACTCTAAGGCTGCCAACAAAAAGAAAGCTACATTTAAAAGAAATTACTAAGAGTCCTACTTATATTATGAGTGATTCACATTCTCCATTATACTTTCAAAACTGCATTGCCATATGAAGACCAAGCATCCTGCATTAAAAGACAAGGCTTTGGAGCTTTAAAAACAAAACAAAACAAAAACATGAACACAAAGAACAGAAGCAATTATTGAAGACCATCACTTCATCAACTGTGTCTGCACTGGGTGGCTTAGTGGCTAACTGCATTGCTAAAGCTAAGAAACCCTTTACTATTGGGGAAGAGTTGATCCCGCCTGCTGCTAAGGACATTTTTCAGGAACTTTCAGGATAGGCTACAGTTCAAAAGGTGGCACATGTTCCTCTTTTGGCTAGCACCATAACCAGGCAAATTGGTGAAATAGCAGAGGTTAATGAGGCACAATTGTTTGAGAGGATTGATGAGTCACCACGGTATACAACCCAGGTTGACAAGTCTACCAATGTTGACAGCAGTGTGCATGTGGATATGTTACGTGCACTTTTGTTGCCAACCGATACCACAGCTGCAGAATTGTCTTTGAATGATTACATATTAGGAAAATGGAATTGGTCATTTTGTGTCAGTATATGCATGGACAGAGTGGCTACCATGACTGGATGGCTTTTCTAGTTTCACTACTCATGTCAAAGAGGTCGTTTCTAAATGTGAGTCTACGAATTGAGTCATCCATAGAGAAATGATAACTAGCCAAAAAACGTCACCTGAACTTAATAATGTTTTGCAGAATACAATTAAAATTATCAACCACATTAAAGTACATGCCCTTAACTCACGTCTATTTGCATAGCTCTGTGAGGAGATGGATGCAGACACACACATAGTCATCTTCTCTTATATACAGAAGTGAGATAGTTTTCTAAAGATAGATCTCTGGCTAAAGTTTTTGAGTTATGAGAGCCACTCCAGAGATTTCTTTTAGAAAACAGTCACCACTGGCAGCTCACTTCAGTGACACAGAATGGGTCGTAAAACTTGCTTACTTGTGTGACATATTCAACCTGTTCAATGAACTCAATCTGGCATCTTAGGGGAGAACAACAACTGTGTCTAAGTTGGCAGATGAAGTGGCTATATTCAAAGCCAAACAGGAATTATAGGAGCAATGAGCACACATTAGGATTTGACATGTTTCAAACATTAGCAGAGATTTTGAGAGACTGAACCTGGGCCTTCTTTCTTCCAGCTGGTGCACGATCACTCATCTCAGCTTTCAAAAGAGTTTGAGCATTTATTTCCAACCACAAAAGACTCCCGAACTGGGAAGGAATGGATCTGTGACCCATTTATGAATAAGTCAGGTGAATTGACTCTGTCTGTGCTAGAAAAGGATCAACTGCTTGAGATCACAAATGACGGTGGTCTTAAAAGTATGTTTGAGACAACTTCAAATCTCCATACGTTCTGGATTAAAGTCAAAATGGAATATCCTGAGATTGTCACCAAAGCACTGAAAAGCCTGCTTCTATTTGCAACATCCTATCTTTGTGAAGCCGGGTTTTCTGTGGTGATAACAACCAAAAGGAGATTAGAGTAGACTAGACAAGCAACACACTTTGGGTGTCACTGTCTCCCATCACCCCCAGATGGGACCGTCTAGTTGCAGGAAAACAAGCTCAGGGCTTCCACTGATTCTGCATTATGGTGAGTTGTATAATTATTTCATTATATGTTACAATGTAATAATAATAGAAATAAAGTGCACAACAAATGTTATGCGTTTGAATCAACCTGAAACCACCCCCACAGCCCGGTTTGTGGAAAAATCTTCTATGGAACTGGTCCCTGGTGTCAAAAAGCTTGGGGACCGCTGCACTAAATGACCCTTTGGCTGGGTCTGGGTTCTTAGGTCAGCTTTTGAGCTTTCTCTCTCATGTGCATTTTATGCAGGGATACATTCTTTCTTCCACCAGGTTAAATTCTCCTCCTCCCTCAAGTTCTGTCTTAACCCTTAAGCAAAACTTGTTTCATTAGGCCTGTTTTCTGATTTAGCGGAGCTTTTGCCAGTCTAGTAAAGCACCTTTTTAAGGGAATTGTCAGCAACACAGCAGTGAATACCAACACAGTGAATACCAACACAAAGTCGACTATTCTTGTAGATCACGCAGGAAAAAAAAAAAAAAAATGTAAAATCCTCAATGGTGGCAGTATCTAAGTGACCCTATACTGGTGCGGTAAGAAATCCTGGAGTCATTCTCAAATTTCACCATTTCCTACATCGGTTAAGTTTTGGGTTCAGTTTCTTTAAACTTTCCAAGTCTCGGTTTTCTTGTTAATAAAAAGAAGATTCCGGTTAGCGTCTTCTGTCTATTCCGGGACTTCAATAAGAATCAAATGAGATGTATGTAAAAATCCTTCATACATGTTTAGTAAAACGCAAAATGTTCGTAGCAGGCTACAAAAGAGACCTGGACCACCTGGTTCCACCCGGGGCCGAACAAACCCAGAGGCGGCCGGTTGCTAGGAAGCAAAGACGAGCCGCGTGACGTCATCACCCCGCGCCGGCCGCCTGGGTTTCCTGGCAGGGCTCAGGGCCGCGTTTCCACCATGGGGGCTTGGCAGCGTCTGCGGCATGTTGGCGGGCTGTCGTTCTGGGGTGGTGGCGGGGCCGCCGCCCCTCTCGGGGGCGGCCGAGCGTTGGCTTGTCGGCGCCAGGTCCGTGGTGCTGCGGGGCGAGGGGAGGCGGCGGGCGGGGGTGCGAGGCCGCAGGCCCGCAGATGCCCTGGCGTTGCTTCATGTCAAGGGCTAGAGGCCCACGCCCGCGTAGCGGTCCAGTGAGAGCCCCCAGGCTGCGGGACGTCCCCGCTTTTCAGGCAGGCCGCTCGTAGTACCAGGCTGAAGCGGGGCGGGGACATGAGACATGGTTAGAACATACAGGTGGTATTTCACATTGCTTTCTGGGTTTGGGGTTATTTAACAAGAAAATGAAAGAGAAGGAAAACACGTGGGGAATTTAACTCTGTAAAGAGGCGGCTTACTTTCCATTTTTAAACGTCAGCGTATCTTGGCTGATAGAGTTCATCTTAAGCCAGTGTGTCTATACAGTTGTTATCAGTAGCAGCAGGTAAATGTCGTTAAAGTGGAGGTGAGCAGAATTAAAAGAAAGGAAAGCTCTCTTAATTGCAAACCCAGAGTTGTTTTTGCTTTTATAGCTTGGTAAAGGAGATTGCTTGTTTAAAACGCTTTTTAAAAAAAATTAAAAAAAATTTTTTTTGAAGTTATCTGGCGCAGAGAGTGAGACCCTAAAACAAAGAAGAACACAAATCATGTCCCGAGGACTTCCAAAGCAGAAACCGATAGAAGGTGTTAAACAAGTTATAGTTGTGGCTTCTGGAAAGGGTGGAGTTGGAAAGTCGACTACAGCAGGTACTATAGGATATTAATTCTGATCCTGTTTAAGAATGTATGCCAACTCGGAAGTGCACACTATTATAGTTTTGGTTTTTAAAAAAATGTTTATTTGTGAAGTTTGTAACAACTAATTCTGCAGTTTTAGGCGTTGGTAGCGGGTAGACGCTTAGATTTTGGAGTTAGGCAAAAGTGTACTAACCAGGTCTTCAGAAACCCCTTAACTGAGGAAAAAGTAATCAGATTACCCAGAAGATCTTCAGTTTATTTAACTGTACAACCGGGATGATAGTCTTTCATAGGGTGGTTGTGCAAATTAAACTCTTTAGCTCAGTGTCATCTTCATAGTAATTGCTCAATAATTGGTTGCTTTTATTATTTTTAAAACGAGTAGCTTTAATGCTAAATTATTTCTTTGATGTTCTTTTTCAGTCTTTATCAGTGTACACATAGCTACATATTTATGAGGTTGTTTACATTATTATGCCTTTTTAGTTTAACCATAATATAATTTTCACCATTTATAAAGTCGATGTAGATCTAATATTTGAAAATGTTTGAAAAATTTAACATTGTTTTGATTATTTAAAATGTAATCCAGTCCTTACATCTTTTATGTTAACATATTATGAGCAGGTAATTTTTTTTTTGTTGGCCTTTTTATTGATTGCAAATTTCATTGTCACTGAAATACTGCTTTTAGAACCCATAAAACAAGTGCCACCAGAGATATGAGTTAATGGTTAAGACTAATGACCAAATATTTCCCCCAAATTTTATTTATTTTATTTTATTTTATTTTATTTTTGAGTTGGAGTCTCACTCTGTCGCCCAGACTGGAGTGCAGTGGCTGCTCCCGGCCACCGCAGCCTCGACCTACTGGGCTCCGGCGATCCTTCTGCCTCTCAGCCTTCCAAGTAGCTGGAACTACAGGCGTGCGCTACCATGCCAGGCTAATTTTTTGATTTATTGTAGAGATGAGGTCTCGCTAAGTTGCCCAGGCGGGTCTCGAACCCCCGGGCTCAGGCATTCCACTCACCTCAGCCTCCCAAAGCGCGGGATTACAGTTTGAGCCACCGAGCCCGGCTATTTCCCAAAAATTTTAAAAGAAAACTTTTTTTAAAGAAATTATTCCAGTGTAATAATGTAAAAGGGGACTCATTCTTCCAGTCCTACTCACTAGAGATAACTTGTATTATTTTTTTATCAGTTTTGTTGAGGAATATTTGACAAATTATAATTGTGTATATTTAATGTGTTGAACAAGATATTTTGATATGTGTATACATTTGTGAAATTATTTCCACAATCAAACTAAAGAACAAATCCATCATCACAATACCTTTCGCTTATTTATTTGGTGAGAGAGAATACTTAAAATTGGGCTCATGCTTGTAATCCCAACGCTTTGGGTGGCAGAGGCTAGAGGATCACTTGAGGCCAGGATTTGAGACCAGCCTGGACAACGTAACAATGCCTCATCTCTACCAAAAAAAAACCCCAAAAACCTGGGCGTATTGGTGTGTGCCTGAACTCCTAGCTACTCTGGAGGCAAGAGTGGGAGGATCAGTTGAGCCTATGGGTTCAAAGTTGCAGTGAGCTATGATTTGCCACTGCACTCCAGCCTTGGTGACAGAATGAGATCCCGTCTCAACAAAACAGAACAAGGCAAAACGAAACCAAAACAACTACTCTCTTAGTGAATTTCAAATGTACAGCATATTATATTAACTATAGTCACTATGCTGTACATTAAGTCTGCAGAACTTATTCATCTTATTACTGCAAGTTTATACCCTTTAACTTGTATTATACCCTTGTAACTTTTATTATTAATTTAGTCATAAAACACTCATGTCTTATTGTTGCTTCCTACTGAATTTTTAGTCTTTTCCATAGCATTCGTTGTTAATTCAAGTACTACTCAATCTTTTTTGCTGTGGTATTTAAAAAATGATTTTCCTTATTTTATTTTGTTAATTTTGGCATACTTCTAGACTGTCCAACAAGATATTTTAAATTTTGGGTTTTTTTTCAGACTATTAAACTAATAGCTTCTAAATTTTAGAAAAAAAAGTCTTGAAATTTAGTACCATTGAAGTCAATGGCATTTTGAAATAAGAGGGGCCAGAGTTCTATGAGTATCACTAGAGATTTTGTGTGTTGACTTGAAGCCATATTTGATGCTTTCTGGTGTAGTAGTTTTATAGTTGTACAACTAGCCACACATCCAACTATAAATTATTATTAGATCCATTTTTGATTAGAAGGAAATTGTGGAAGAGTTTTTCAGTTGTTTTGGTAAGATTTACCAAATATTTTATTTGTGATAGGCCCTTAGTTTGTTACTATGTGATAGACACTATATTATTATTTAAAAAAAGATTAGTTAGTGATTTGTTCTTAATGAATTAATACGATATCCTGCACCTTTTTGCTTTCTTTCCTAAGGGCCTACAATCCATCTGGTTGATGTTTTGTTTCTAAAATTTAGAAGATCTTAGTTTTTGGTTCTAGAATCTTTTGGAGTACATTTTCCTATTTTCAGAGGTTTTAATTTTTTTGTGTGCTCTGTGATTACTTGGCCTTGATAAAGATGGAAGAACTTTTCCATCTTTGAGTTTTGTACAGTGTAATTGGTTGGGTCTGTAGACTAGCACTTATTTAAACAGGTTTTTTCTTTTCCTTTTTAGTTGGAAGATGATCTATTGCTATGGAATGTAAAAGCATTTAAATAGAAAAATAAATGCGAATGTGTACAGTGTGTGACATATAGTAGGTGCTTCAGTAAACGTCGTTTTCTCACTTTTTTCTGTTAATATTTTACCATCTGTCACAAACAGCTGTCTTATACTTTTTCCTGACAGTTGAGAGCATACCTGAGCCTTAGAAATAGGCTATTTCTATGCAACTCTGTTGGTATTTTCTTTTCCGTATATCTGTTTATTCCTGTCCCAAACAATTTAAAAAACTTTCCATTTGAATATGCTAGAGATATTTCAGATTAGAATGATGATATTTGATTAGCATAAACATACTCTGTAATTCTATTGTATAAATGCAGGAACAACCTAACTTTAAGATGAGTTACTCTCTAAAAATTTCTGCTTTAAAGTTGGATTATGTTTAACCTATCTTGCACCTGAAATTCAGAATTATTTTAGAGTTTATAAAAATGAATTTATCAGCTTCCATACCCTAGGCTGACTACTTTACATACAGTATTTAATTTAATCCTTACAATAGGTATGAAGTAGGAATTATCCTCATTTTATAGAAGAGGGAACTTATGGGGAAAATAAGGTTACGCAGTAGAAGGAGCTGAGATTTGAACCAAGACTACCTTAGAAACTTATGTTCTTCATTACTTTGAGGGAAACAACCTGACATAATTTATAACATTGTTCTGTAAAGAAATATTCATATTATGATGGTCTATTCATTTGTCGTTTTTGGAAGTGTGTTACTTTTGGAACTCTCTTCTCAGATGTAACTTATCCCTATTGCGGGACTGCAGCTAGCTTTGGGAATAATACTCTCCTCCTTTGTCTCTCTGGGACTCACTGCCATAGGCAGTTTGGGTAACATGTTTTTTTTTTTTTTTTTTATTTAATCTGTATTTTTTATTATGGTTTTGTGGGGTACAGTTAAGGGTTAGGTGTACAATTACGTTTCATTCAGGCACCCTGTTGATAAGAGGTGTTTTCCCATCCCCCGACAGATATTTGCTACTGTTAATCCCAACCCCCTCCCCCCCATAGTTGCCCAGTACCGTCAGTCATTTTCTTATAGTATTGCATTGGATGTTCAAGGTCCATTATATGAGTGAGAACATGTGATAATAGGATCTTTGTTTCTGTGAGAGGTCACTCAGTATTATAGACTCTAGTTCCATCCAGGTTGCAGCGAAATTCATGATTTTGTTCTTTTTTATGGCTGCGTAGTATTCCATCGTGTATATGTACCACATTTTTTTAATCCAGTCCTCTTTTGATGGGCAGCATGGTTGTTTCCAGGTTCTTGCTATTGTGAACAACGCTGTGATAAACATACGTGTGCAAGTATCTTTTTTATAGAGTGATTTGTGTTCTTCAGGGTATATTCCCAGTAGGGGGATTGCAGGGTCATATGGAAGGTCAATTTTTAGAGCTTTTAGGAATCGCCCCACTGCTTTCCACAGAGGTTGCACTAGTTTACACTCCCACCAACAGTGTAGAAGTGTTCCCTTTTCACCACACCCTCTCCAGCAGCTGTTATTTTTTGAGTTGTTGATAATTGCCATTCTGACTGGAGTTAGGTGGTATCTCAGTGTGATTTTGATTTGCATCTCCCTGATGATTAGTGAGGTTGAGCATTTCTTCATGTGTTTGTTGGCTGCTTGAATGTCTTCTTTTGTGAAGTGTCTGTTCATATCTTTTGCCCATTTTTATAATGGGGTTGTTTGTTTTCTTCTTTTCAGTATGTTTCAGTTCCTTGTAGATCCAGGATGTT